CCAAGAAAAAGCAAGCAATGCTCATTGGGAGAAGCCTGCAAAGACAGCGTCATCTGCGCGGTATACCTTCCTGGGAACACAGGCGGTGCTCTGCAGGACACAACAGCAGGGCTTGCTTTCTGCCCTCCTGCATCAGCCTTCAAGATCACTCCATCATCCTTCCATGGCTTCCCGCTTTCAGAGATTTTTACCATAATTGACAATAATTGACTAAAATGATTAAAGTGTTCCTAGCACAATAAAATGTCAAAGATATAAAAAAAATTAAATTCAAGATCCCATGATTTATGCAGAGAGCCATAGATTTGCCAAGGGTTCTACTGAGTAATTTTAAGACAGGATGGATTTCACTCTTTTTTTTTTAATGTTGTCTCTGGAAGACTTCTAAAAAATGAACAAAAGTCATGAAATAGCATTCTTTGAAAATAGAATCGCTGTGGGGAGGGAGGGGGAAGAGAGAGAAAGAAGGAAATAGAGAGGGAAAGAGAGAGAAGGAAAAAGAGAGGAGAGAGAGAGAGAGAGAGAGAGAGAGAGAGAGAGAGAGAGAGGAAAACCCTCAAAGACTCCTGGGGTACAGTGAGGGTTAAAGTGCATTAACAGACTTCAGCATTTACTGAAGACTACCAAAGTCAGGTTCGTGTGGAAAACAAGCCCACGAAAAAGACTTTTCTAAATTTCAGCATTTCTCAGTCAGAGTTCCAAACCCAGTCAGGAGTGCCACCTCACCCCAGCATCACAGTGTCCCTACTGGCCTCAGCTGAGAAAGCCAGGCAGCCCCTTGCTTAGGATATTTTTTCCCGGAGTTTGTCTCAGCACACAGAAGGAAGAAAAAGCTATGTCCCAAAGAAAACAGTGAGGGCTTCTGGGTACTGCTCAGGCGTTGGGATGAAGCCCTAACACAGCTCAGCCCACAGGCAGACACTTGATGTTCGCTGTCTTCTCGTGTTATTCCAGTAAATGGATCTACTGAGGGATACAGTGTCCTTATTCTCTGAGACTTTAAAAAATTCCTTTGTATCATTTGTATTTCTGGCCAATCCATGAACGGCTTGACTACTGATTGATGAGAAGTGCTGAGTTCACAAGTGTGCTGTGTTCCAGCACTCTGAAAGGAACTCAGCATCATTTTCCCCACGGTACCGCCCAAACTAGCCATGAACTCTTGGGCTCAAGCCATCCTCCTGTCTCTGTCACCCAAGGAGCTGAGAATAAAGGCTTGCAGCACCGTGCCCAGCTAAAACAATATTGTAAGTGGTTGGTTTCCAGGCCAGACCCAAAGTCTTCTTCACTCAGATGTTGAAAACCTGAGCTTTTACAGGAAAAAGGAGCAGAAAACACTCCTAAGATTTATTCATGAACTAACCCAAATGTGAAAGGTTTAGTCTCCTTTCATTACGAAGCCTGCTCGACAAAGCAACCAATGAGAAAGGACGAAGGGGAGGATCAAGGCTTTTTAGGGGAGACTTCTGCTTATGAGAATCTGGGGAGCCTGACACAGCAGTTTGTCACTTGGTCCAGTTTTACCTCTAGCCATTTTTTGTCCCAATCTCCCTCCTACAAGTATGAAACAAGCAGGGTGCACAGAAGGCACCTGTGAACTATAGGCGTAAGATGGGAAATGAAGACGTTTGGAAGAGATGTCCTTCTTCAGGCATGGAGTTAAATCATATCCCTGTGGGAGCTGGCTGAGCCAGGGTAAGCTAGTGAGGAACATGTGACGGGAAGGGACAGTGGGACACCCAGTGTTACAGGCCCTTGACCAGGTGGAAGAATAATAGAGTCCACTATTTGGTCAGACAGTACCCCTTCTGGCCATAAGGTGGTGCCATAAGCCCAGCCAGTCTGCCCCAATAGGCTAGGGCATGCAGGGGGCGGAGCTCCCAGGAAAGCCATGTTCCTCACTCGGCCTGTGGAACCTTCAGGAAGCCTGCACTAGAGACCTGCGTCAACTCGTAATCAGTGCCTCAGCGGGCTAAAATGATCCCACATGCTCACACGGGAGCAAGTTTACCTACTGTCCTGCGGGACACCACGCCCCACGTGGAGAGGTCAAGCCATTCATTTGCACTCCCTTTGTCTTGTTCCAAAATGCCAGTACCCATACCAGAGCTTTCTCTGAGTCCTAAAGAGAATCCAATCAAAGAGCACCTTGAATCACGTCTCTAGATACCTAGCACGGATTTGGCAACTTGGCCCGGCCTTACCACGTGACTACCCATCTAGCTAGCCTGGTCTCCCTCTTTAGCCCCAAACTGGACAACTCATTCCTGACACAAAACTCGGTGTGTTTTGCCTGCACAGAAACATCCTTTCCCTTGCCTCCACTTGGCAATTCCCTTCCCTAGCTTTCAACCCAAACACTTCCCTCTCCAAAACCTTCACTCTTAGACACCATTGAGGGTGACAGTAGAGGGAAAGGGGGGGGGGTGTCTCATCACACAAGTCTGGGTGTCACAGACCAGATCTGTCTCCGCAGTTACATGTCTCAAACTGTCCACAGATGCTGGAACCACGGTGCAGCACTGGCTGGCCCACCCTTGCTCCTCCAAGGCTTTGTTAAGGTGGACATTAGGTTTAGCGAGGCGCCAAAGTCTCAGGCTCCGTGTGTGATGCAGTACCTGTGCTCGATTCTTGCTGGCTTTATGTCATCTACTGTACCCAGCTCATTCCACTCGTCTGCCAAACCCAGCTTGAGGGACTGATGAGCTAAGGGAATCTGCAGGGGAAAGGGGATCACGACAAAGGCTCCAGTGTGTGCCCCGCCCTTCTCCAGCCTAGTTCTGCCCTGGGCCAAAGGCCCAGGGCATCGCCCAGCAAACCTCCCAGAGAGTCTGCAGCCCTGGGTAAGATGGGCGAAAGAACACCCTTGTCTGTGCTTCTGCCTTGGCCAGCTGGTCCAGAAAGGAACCTTCAAGCATGGGTGCTATGTGCGTTCACAGCACCGTGCATCCAGCCACTGGGTGCTCTTCCTAAAGCGGCAATTGGCTCAGATGGGAACCATGAAATTCCCTTGAAAGTTGGACTAAAAAAACCTCAAGATGGTTTTTTAAAACCACGCGGGTTCTCTGAGGACAGGTCCGGTGCCTCACCGCAACAGGACAAGTCGACTTTCCTGCTACGGCTGTGCACTCCAGATTCTGTCTCTCTGGTACCACTTCTGCTCGTGGAAGAGGCCGTAGAGGTCTGTCCAGTTCTAAAGTTAAGTAAGGCTGAGGTCTGTTTGACTCTCCCAGAAAATTTTTGGCCTTGGGGGGGGGGGCCACAGACCAACATGTTTTTGTTTGTTTTGTTTTTAAGGAAGTACAGGAGGGTTTCTTTTAATAAACTAATAAAGAAAGCTAAATTAACTATTCAAACAAGCGAGGTGGTCGATGAGGATGACCCATCATTATACCCACTATCCACCACCTTCCTCAAAAAATGGCCGAGGAAGTTTCTGCTATTAAAATCATGGGTATGAGTGGCTAATTTCTTCCCACCATCGAAGACTAAGACACTCAAAGTGACCGTTTTCTGGGGCCCAGAGAGATGGAGAGGTACTATGAACAAAAGCTCCGAGAGGTTCTGCCCCTGGAAAGTCCATTCCCATCTCCTCCCTTCCTTTCTACAGTGTGAAGCAGCGGTCACTCTGAGCCCCAGCCTCTGCCATCTCCTCGCTGGAAGGCAGCTGGCACCCAGGAAAACTGAGCGGGCAGCTGGCAGACAACCTGGGCGCCCATCTCTGCACCCCTCCCTCAGGCGTGTCACACGTAGGCGCAGAAGAGTCTGAGAGTGCGCCTCGGTGCGGAGGCCCAGGGTAGCAGTCGCCGCAGGCGGTGGGTGATGAAACCTCCTAGGCGCATTACTGCAGAGTGCGCGGGCGAGCGGGGAGTAAGGCGAGGACGTGGATTGAGAGCTGGTACCCAGGCTCACCTGTTCTCCAAGACTAGGGTGAGAACGAGGGGGAGGGGCAAATAGCGCCAATACCGGATGAGAGCCAGGTGGCACTAGGTGGCAGCGATCGTCTCTCCACCCTCCCCCCACCAAGCTAGCCCCCTGAACTAAGCCGTCGGGTTAACGAGGCCAGGAGCAGCAGTTCCTGTCCCGGGCTGGAGCGAGGGAGACGTGAGCGTGCACACGTACACACACAGCAGGGGGGGGGGGAGACGCGCTCCCAGCAGCGCCCAACTTTCTCCCTGCTTCCTCCAGCAGGGGAGATAGCAGCTGAAGGCGATCTGATTCCCAGGGTGCTTAAGGAGGGGGATCCAAAAGAGAGAGACGGTATAGAGAGAATGTCCCGGAACCTGGGACCTTTTGCTTTTATTTTTGCATCAGAGAGCTGAGGAATAAAGGGAACCTTCCAACTGGGCCGAGAGGTGCTTAGGAAAAAATGGAAGCGTGTGTTTGGAGATGCCTAAAGTTGCCTGTTAAGCTCTGGCTTCTGGAGCACGCGATGCTCCGCGGCCGCCTGACCCAAGGCTGCCTGGGCCTCCAAGCGACCCGCCAGGAAATGATGCAAGTCTGGATTGTCACCTGGATCCCTGAAGCCCAGACAGGAATCCGTCTGGATTGGGGGAGGGGCGAGACAAGATGCCCCAGGTGTTGCAGGACCCACCAAATCCCGACAGAAATAAGTGGGAGGTGGACTGTCTCTCGGGCCAAGTGCTTCAGGGTTTTGCAGCCTGTCTTTAAGCGCCTGTTTTGTAAAAGCCAAGCCTCACGACACTTAGGAATTCCCATCGGAGCTCAATTTGCTCGCACCATCTCTGTGCCCAGGTATCTGTTCCAATCTATCCAGGCCTCGGGGCTGACAATGTCACTGAGTTCCAAAGAGAAAACTTTCTCAGCCGGAAGCGAGCCCCTGCGGACGTGGTCCCAGTAAAGACCGACCCTCCCCGCCGTCTCTCCCCCCCCACCCCCCCCCCCACTTTTTTTTTTTTTTTTTTTAGTTTTCGCGTTGCAACTAGAACTGGCATCTGCTTTGGGTTTTTTTCCTCAGTCCGTTCGCCATTGCCCCGGAGCACCCGCACACGCGCACGCATCTTGGGCCGCGCTCACACACACGCACGCAAAAGCGTGGCCGGCGCCAGGTCGGCAACTTTGTGGGGTGCTCGCCGCTGCGCTCCGCTTCCTCCCGTAGTAGTTGGCGCAGGCCCCGCCTCCCGGCTGTGTTGTCAAACGGGCCGGGGTCTCGGATTGGTCCAGCCTCCGGGACAACACCTGCTCGACTCCTTCATTCAAGTGACACCAGAGCTTCCAGGGATATTTGAGGCACCATCCCTGCCTTCGCCGGGCACTCGCGGCTCTGCTAACGGCCTGGTCACATGCTCTCCGGAGAGCTACGGGAGGGCGCTGGGTAACCTCTATCCGAGCTGCGGCGAGGAGGAGGAAAGGGGCGAGCCGGGAGGAAGAGTGGGAGGAGGGGGGAAGCAGCAGAGGAGGAAGAAGAGGAGGAGGGGCGCACAAAGAATCCAGGTCTCCCGGCGGGAGGGTGATACCCAGAACCATGTGTGCCGAGCGGCTGAGCCAGTTTGTGACCCTGGCTTTGGTGTTTGCCACCTTGGACCCGGCGCGGGGGACCGACGCCACGAACCCTCCGGAAGGTCCGCAAGACAGGAGCTCCCAGCAGAAAGGCCGTCTGTCCCTGCAGAACACAGGTAAACGCGTGCGCCCTGCAGCGGGGAGCTGCGGGGAGGAAACACGGTGCACGCCCGCAGCGCTCCTAGTGCGTTTAGCCCCAACCCAGCGACCCGAGCTCACCCCGAGCAGCGCAAACTCTTGGTGGCTCGGGACTTGCAGAGGGAAGAACGAGAGAAGCGAGGGCTGGGCTGGGCTCCGAGCGCCCGGAATCCGCACGTGCTAGCAGGGTGATGAAATGGCTGAGGCAGGACTTGTTGCTACTCTCCCCCAGGGCTGAGGGGAAACGAGGCAGCGCTTGGCGCTGCCAGCTCCAGCCAGAGTGCCAGGCCCGGAGCAAGACGCACTTTGTCCAGGTTAGCCTGTGCAGGGCCCCGAGGGTCCCCGGAACTGGGATCGCCCTGCGCCCAGAGAACTTCTCTTCCAAGCTGGCCAGTCTGGCATGGACTGACTCTCCTTCCTTTAAAGATTGCCGGACATCCCAGAACTTTGCTGGCCATTTAAATGGCATCAAGAAGTTTTCCTTGGGAGGAGGGAGTTCGCAAAGCGTACCTGTGTGACGCTCCGTGGTCCCTTGCCCCTAGCCAGGTCAGCAAGGGAAGAAATGTTGACACGACCCAAATCGTGCGCCGGCCCTGCTCACCGGCAAGCAGCAGCGCCGAGCCTGGCGTGCGGCACACGGGGCTGGCCTTCTTCCCAGCTCCCGGGAGAAAAAGAAACGTGTCTGCCGCTCGGCTCCTTGCTTATGCCCCCACTCCCGCTATTCCTCTGGGGCCGTGTGAACGCGGCGGCCGTGGCGTGCGTGCGCTCCTTGCCTGCGTCGAAATACACAAATGAGGGTCAGGGGCGCCCAAGTGAGCAATCGCTGTCCTGTCCGTGGTCACGCGTGGAGTTAGTCCAGCCTCTCTCTGCCACCACCCCCCGCCCCGGCCCCGTTGCCCAGGTGCGCAGTCGAGGGTCCCTCGCCCGCCCTGGCTCCTCTCTGGTTTAGGTGCCCCTCCACAAATACACGCCCCTCACTCTCTCGCTAGATTTCATCTGATACAGATTTTTCGACTCCAGCCCCGCCCTTCTTCCAAAATACACTTTCCTAGTTGTAATTTTGAGGTTGGTTTAAATCGTGGAACTGAGTGAGCCCAAGAGGGCATGAGACTGCACTCCCGCAGCCTGACAGCCCCTCTGTCCTTTCAGGCTGACGAATTAGGACTCTTGGAAGAGGTAGCACGCTCCTGGGGCCTCAGGGATTCTAGGGGATTAAGTGATAGCTCACACCAGATCCCTAATTAAAAGGAACTTCCAAAGTGAACGACGGCTGGTGGAAGGCCAGCCCCCACCTGCCTCCATGCTGAGGCTCTTGCCAGCCGCAGCCTCCCTGGCCTGGCATTTTTTTAATGCGGGTGGTTTGGAGACACAGCTTTAATAGGAATCTTGTTTTGATTTTTAGGTGTTGAATCATAAAGCTGAATTCAAGTTGCTTTTTGGAAGCTTTCGTCTGGGGTCAGGAAGGAAATAGCTGGATCTTAAAGGCAGTGGCTTCTGCGGCCATTTAATTCATGAAATTCAGTCTTTTGGAAATCTTACCTTTCCCTGTGGGTTTCAAAAGCTGAAATGTTTTCTGCTCTTAAACTGAGTATTCTCACATATACCTTCATAAAGTGGGAAAGAAAGAGGGAGGGGAAAATGCTTGTCCTAACTTCTGACTGTGTTATTTGTTATTTTTTGGCTAATTTTACAAAAAAAAATTCTTTTCAGTAAGTAGTAGTAAATAATGACATTCTATTTTTCCACCTCCTTCGATTCTGAAATTGGCACACCCTTTTCCCCTTTAGTTTTCCTCTAGCCCGTACTGTTAGCATGACAGAAAACTTGTAATTGTTTTTTTCATTTTAGCGGAAATCCAGCACTGTTTGGTCAACGCCGGAGACGTGGGGTGTGGCGTGTTTGAATGTTTCGAGAACAACTCTTGTGAAATCCGGGGCTTACATGGGATTTGCATGACTTTTCTGCATAATGCTGGAAAATTCGACGCCCAGGTAAAGCACATAGCAGGTTGGTGTGGCATGGCTGAAATACTGGCTGGACAGATTGCTAACCCATTTCCCGTACTGTTATTTGAGGCAGTTTGACGCTTGCAGTTGTAGAGAAAGGCACCAGTGTGTTTGCTTCCTGGAGTTGCCATTGGGCCAAATCCTTTCAAATCCTTACACTGTATCTGCATAGGCAAAGCAGGTTAGACATCGAAGTCATAGCCAGTGATAAACACAGTGTCTGCACAACCAGAACCCCATCCCCAAAAGTGCATGAGGAAGAGAAGGCTGGAGAGACAGAGACCCTCGCTGCAGGTAGCAAAGGCTCTTCTAGTGTATATGTGGGCAGGCCGCATAGATAATTCCCGGCCTCCGAACAGCAAGGAACAGAGAGAGTCTCCTCTCCCAACCCGAAAAGTCAAACCCTGACTGAATCTCGCTTGCCTTATAGCCAGAGCTGAATCCGCCTCAGATTACCAAGGTAAAGTTGAGTTGCTACTCAGGGCAAACCACCTATAAGCCAGCTGGTTGTTCCAGCACAGAATGTGTGTTTCGGTGGCATGTAGCATTGGGCTCATTGCCGCTTTCTGCCCCGGTTCTTGGCCCTGTCGAAACACACTGCTGGTATAGCTCATAAATTTCCTCTCCCATTTCAATGGAGCCTGATGACTAAGTCTGGAGGAGGCCAACAGCTGAGGTGTGATTTAGACACGTCACCTGTCACCATCCACTGACATCCTGTGGACAGCCTCACAAAGCAAGGCCTGGGAACAGAGAGGGACGTGACGGGGCGGCAGCCTTGACAGTGGAGGATGTGAGGTAGCAGAAGGGAAGCTGAAACAGAGGGAAGAGGGAGAACTTTGAACTCCTTGCCGTCCTTAGAAAAACGTGCTGCCCCCCAAATTGGAGCTAGGCCACGCAATAGGAAATCCGGAAGAGAGGAGCGTATCAAGGGCCTTCCCACAGGATGTCAGAGAAGAATACTAAAAAAAACAGATTGCCACAGCCCTCACATAAATCCATCTTGTTTTCTCAGCCAATAGGAGAATGTTCTCAAGTTAGAGACATCCCTTTCAAGTCACTTCTCAGTGTGTAACTACTTAATAAAGTGCCAAGCCCCGCCCTAGCCCATCTGGCTCCCAGCTAGAAAGTCAAAGAAAAGGGGGTGCCACAGGGTGGACATGGGTGCCACGTGGGTCTTCAACCATCAGACACTATCTGTAGACATTTCTAAAGACAAAACCAAAATAAACAAACATACTGGCTGGCTTCCCACCTCCGACCTGAACTGGTTCACTTTCTCAACTCAGTGATTTCCAGACCTGCCTCAAAAAAAAAAAAAAAAAAAAGGAAGAAAAAGAAAAGAAAAGAAAAAGGTTAGCTCTTGAGACAGCCTATTTCCATGGAAATTAAAGGGAGATTCCTGGGTAGATACCCAACAGTGCCTCCAGGCCAGGGAGGTTGATAAGAGTAAAATTGGGAGCTTGCCCCCACATCCCGACAACTGCCTCCTTCTGGCCTTGGCACAATCGGCTAAGGGTGCCAGGAAGGAGAACTGTGGGCCACATGTACGCCTGCCTGGCTGCCTCACCCCTCTGAGACAGTGGGGAGGATGCTACTTTGATGCTTCTGCCCTACTCACATGCTGCCAAGCAAGATGCCAGGGGGACCTTTTAGAGACCATAATCCTAACAGTTTAAAAGCAAAGAATGTTTTTCCCGGAAGCATGCAAAGAGGTGACAGACCGTGAGCTGGAGCACCCGCACTAACTGGGAGGCTCCAAGAGCACTGCTTCCCAGGATGGAGCGTGAGCAAGAAGTGTACTCTTGGCTGACACTGGCAGAGGAGCTAGGGCCAATCTCAGGGAATTTTCTACCAGGTAGTCACCTCCCAGCTGCCTGGAGGACACTCCAATTCCAGGGAAACTAGAAGAGCAACTGGGGAAGAGAGGGGCAGATCTGTCCGTGCACAGAGCTCACAACCACTCTGGCCTGCTGCCAGCGATGTCACATCGCCTCCCACCTGGAACCACATCAATCCAAGCACAGCCTCGCTACGCCGAGATCAAAAACCCCTGTGCTAGCCTAAGACTGGCACATGTCATCCTGGCTAGTGACAAAACCTTGTCTCCTCTGCCTCCCTCCCTTTTGTGTCCTCCATCCTCAGGGCAAGTCATTCATCAAGGATGCCCTGAAGTGCAAGGCCCATGCCCTGCGGCACAGATTTGGCTGCATCAGCAGGAAGTGTCCGGCAATCAAGGAGATGGTTTTCCAGTTGCAGAGGGAATGCTACCTCAAGCACAACCTGTGCTCAGCGGCGCAGGAGAACATCGGCGTGATGGTGGAGATGATAAACTTCAAAGACCTCCTGCTGCACGAGTAAGTAGCACCCCCATCCCCATGAGAACGGGAGGAAGGGTCTCCTGGCAAGGGTGGGGTCCTGAGGGCCGGAAATGTGTTTGAGGATGCTACTTTTGGAGGTGAACTCCCTTCAGTGGATATAGTTGTGGTGTGCTCCATAGAGCTAGAAAACCCCCCAGAAATTCATCAAATTTGAAATCCCCACAAACAGAAACATTATTTTTACTAAGTACAAAATATCTATATCAGAAGCATTCTCCATCCTCCCCACGGCCAAGTCCTGGTTGCTGTGTGATCCAAGTAGCTCACAGGCGTCAGTACAATAGCCGGTACACACTAACATTTACCTGCGTGTAGGTGCTCGGCACTAGGCCAGGTATATTACATGAAATGTCCGCCCGTTCCTTACATCAACCCTTCATGCCTCCAAATTCTCACCACGGAAAACTGATCTCTGCTGTGGTGAAGCACGAAGCACTCACAGTTAGGGAGAAGCAAAGCTATGCGCTGGGGTTCTCGCAGTGTGGCTACAGCGCCTTCGCTCTCAAAGGTGCCAATCTAATCAGCAGCTTTTTCTGCTTCCAGAGCTCCCCAGGTCCCTTCTCTAACTCTGCAGAATACATAAAACAAACAGCGGAAACTTTAGTCTGCTAAACAGGCATGGTAAAATGGACTTGAAGATGATAGAGCCAAATCATCTCATTCCTTGGCTCTTACCCCAGCTGTAAGATCCCAGATCTTGCAGAGCGGTAAAAGACATTGATCCACCATTGTTTCTAACATGTCAGTGTGGTCCACAGGCCCCAAAGACAGAGATGTAGAACAAAAAGGGAAGCCACCAGTTTAGTAGACATTGCCAACCACTGCCACCTTTATAGCCACCTCCATCTTTCCATGGTGATTCATTGAGCCAAATCAGCACAATTTTAGGGACTCTCACCCATTAGTTCATTGCATGACCTTCTCCCAGTTATGTTACCAAACATACCCCCTTCATGGCACTAATGCCTAGATTCTGAGACAGCCATCTCGTCTCTCAGTTATGAGGCCTTTAGTAGCTTGTGGCACTTTGGTACAATATAAAATTATTCATGGTGAAATTCTGCAACCAGACCTTTCCAAAAGAAGGACTGTGTTGCTTGGTTTTTGGACCATACTAATACTTCACAACAGATTTTCATTCTTCCAAATATTTACAAAGGAACAATGGCATGGACAATAGTAATTGTCTTTTATTTCTCTTTGGTGTGCAAAGACCTTGGTCATGGGCATGGATTACCCTGTTTGTCTTCTGACCAGCCACAAGATGGAAATTCGCATCTCCACTTCATAGGGAAGGCTAGTGACGCTAAGAACTTCCCTTGTGAGGTTTGATTCCTGCTTTGCGGCCTGGGGATTGGTAGTGTACGCTAGTCTCTTACTATCCACAGGGGATGGTTCAAGGGCCTCCCCTACACATCCGCATCCATGAATGAGGAAGGCTCAGATAAATCGATGACGTAATCTACTCTGGATGATTTATGATACCTACAGACAGAGCAGCTGCTGTGTAAGTAGTTGTTAGTCTACAGTGCTTAGGAAATAACGGCAGGAAGAGTCTGCTTCAGTACAGAGGCAGGTTGCTTCTGAAACGTCAATCTGTGCTCGGCTAGTTGAATCTGCAGGCACGGAGCTGTGTATGACTGAAACTTGGTGTGAGGAACAGGCCGGCAGTCAGAATGCCAACTGCCCTGCTCCTCCTGTTCTTGCTAGACCTGCTAAGACTTCGGGAGTCTTCTCATGTGACAAGGTCTTCTTCCTTTCCCTAATCACTCCCTCATTGTCACCAGAGAGTACTATGAGAGTCTCTTCCTTCGAGGTGCTCTTGAAAGAGGCACATGTTCACAGCCAAGGAACCTCTATCTCAGTGGCATATTTAAGAGGACTTTTTAGTCTTCAAGGTGGGAGGTTGGGGGCCTGCTATACACTTGTGATACATTCCTCGAGTGTGTGGAGTATGAGTATCTTCTGAAGAAAGGTCTTTGGGAAAACTGAAGCCTTTCAGGTTATGGGGAACACACACCCCATCCTAGAATTTAGGGAGGGTTAGCGCACTGTGATGTCTAGTGCCTCTTCCACAGGAACATGGCCTCCAGGCCAGGGACTCTTGTTTCACGGGTCTCCCCCAGCATTTAGAATCAGCAATAGCAGCCAACACTGGCCTGCTCTGCCGAAGCAGGTGGCCCACCCTGTGCAGAGGTGTGGGTGTCTAAAGAACACTGCCAGGAGGCCTCATGCGGGACCTCCTCCTGCTGCTAAGCCAGGACTTCTGGGCATTGAGTTTGTGCCAAGCTCCGGCTCCTTGAAAAACTCCATCCCCTAGCACCACGCAGCAATGCAATGCCCAGCTTCGACTTCAAGCTGAACTTTCCCAATTTTTCAACCAGCTTAACTGATTAAAGGATCCGTTCAGCCCCCGCATACCGAGAAAGCCATCTCAGAGTGTGTGGCAACAGTCACAAACAAAAGAATGTGAGCCAAGTTTGCCTTTCCCTTTAAGGAGGAGGAAGTCAGCCATGCAGAATCCAAACCACCCCATTCCTCTACAGTGCTTCTGCCAGGAGCAGGGGTGGCAGCAATGTCCAGTCTGCTGCGAGCTGCCCCTCTCACCGCTGCCTGCCCACCCCACTCTCTCCTTATCATCTGCCTCCCCCTAGCTGTGGCCAGTCTCCCTTGGCCTCTGCACACCCTGTCACCAGGTGCTGGCAGCCTCAAACACATTCCCCTCCTTCGGCCTTGCTGACACTCAGTTGAGTGCTGGGTTTTGTCATCGGACAGGCCCAGCCTGCAGCCTAAGAAGGCACTGTGCCAGCCCAAAGCACGGCTTAGATTAATTTACTTGGCCACACACGCCCTCTCCACGGGGCTCAGCTTCATCCCTGAGAGAGAAGACAGAACAAGCCGAGGAGAGGGGGACTAGTCCTGCCCCAGGAGGCCGGTGTCCATCTTACAGGTCCAGGGTTCAAAGGCAGACACACACCATGATGGAGAAGACCCCAGAGAGATCTGTGTGTTCCTGGGAGGATCTTTTAAGCTAGACGCTTAAAGGAATAAAGGAAACTCAGTTCGAAATCCCAGATAGCGCCAGCAAATGACCAAACATTTTGCTCCCATTTTGCAGATGGCCTCAGTGGATTTGAGCTTCCTAAGGCAGCATTTGTTTTCAAAGTATGGAGGGAGCATGAATGGCTTACAGCATCCCTTTCTCTATAACTTCCTCCTCCGAGTGCTCAAGAGACACTGTCCTTAGCAGCAGCCTAGGCCTGCTTGAAAGAGGCTGAGCGCCTTGCCCACCAGCCATGCAAAAACCGTGATGCCAAAGGAATCAAATAGGCTTCAAAACGCAGCTCTAGAACATCCCTTCTGCCTGTCCTCAGCCCAGGCCAGGCCTCCCTTGCCTAGGATTTCCCAAAGGGGACTTTCCTTTTCCCTATTCCTCATTCTTATGTCCTCAAAGTAAGGACAGTTCCAACGTGGGGAGTGAATGGCCACAACAGCATTGATTATGCCGCACATCTTAGAACATAAGCTGCTTCTTCTGCAGAGCCAAGGTTGCCAGCCTGCAGAGAAAGATTACACAGACCCCTAGGATGGTCATCCAAGTCTCAAGTCACACCTCAGGGAGGAGAGAACCTTTGCTCCTTATAAATGGCTACACATCCCACAGTGATTTCCCTGTGGAAGCAGGCGCTGTCTGTCATGGGCACATTTGTCCAGGACTTAATTCTAGTTAGCCACACAAAGTCACATAAAGCATCCCACATCCTCTTGGATCTTAAAGGCCAGTGAGAGTTAAGGGGGGCTCTGTAGGTAGGCCCATCAATTTAAAGAGGGGGCACGCTTCTCTGTCCCCTGGAGTGAGTCCTCCAGCAATTTGGCTAAGAAACAACTCGAGGTCGTTGGTACAGGTGGAGATGCAGTTCTGAGACCAGAATGGGCCGTGTTGCTTTCAGAGAGAGCTGCTCTCGTTGTGGACATGGGGACCCTGACTGACTGAAAAGGGAAAGCCACAGGGAGATGACACTATAGGGCAATGGCCCTCCCCAGCGCATCTCATTTCAGATTCCCCCAGACCGTGGCATACATACCCAACAACTTTCATAAAGGCCCTTTGTTGTAAGCCTAAGTCAGGGCACACAGGTAGGGAACATGACCTCAGGAGACCCTCATTGATGCCGCCTGTGATGGGCAAGCATGGGGACTCCTGACAGATGCTCAGGAACTCCTTAGTCCGACACTTCCTGGGTTCTTCACTGAAAGTGCATACATGTACCAATTTACTATTGAAGACCCTTCACCATTGGCCAAGACTGTCTCCACTCCAGCCAAGCTCACCAGCTCCCGTAGCCTGGGTGTGCCCAGGACACCCTTGCTTTCCTCTCCACTCACACAGCTGCTCTGCCTGAAATGCCTACCTTAATGCCCTGACCTTCAGCTTTTCTCCCATGTATCTACACTGTCAGTAGCGCTACACCTATTTGAGAAGCAGGAACCTGCCTTAATGCCATTCCCTGCCATGGAACCTAGTCTGCAAAGATCACTCACCGAACCCTAGTTAAGCATTGTCTCTTGTCACAGGGCCCCCTTATAACATGTTCCAATCTCAGTCCATCTCTCTCTGCTTGAATCTCTAGGCCCTATGTGGACCTCGTGAATCTGCTGCTGACCTGCGGGGAAGATGTGAGGGAGGCCATCACTCACAGCGTCCAGGCTCAGTGTGAGCAGAACTGGGGAGGCCTGTGCTCCATTCTGAGCTTCTGCACCTCCAACATACAGAGACCTCCCACTGCGGTCCCTGAGCATCAGCCCCCGGCAGATAGGGCCCAACTACCCAGGCCTCACCATCGGGATACAGGCCACCACCTATCAGAAGCCAGCAGAGGCGCCAAGGGTGAGCGAGGGAGCAAAAGCCACCCACAGGCCCACGCCCAAGGCGGAGCAGGTGGCCAGAGCGCCCAGGGACCTTCTGGGAGCAGCGAGTGGGAAGATGAACAGGCCGAGTATTCCGACATCCGGAGGTGAAACGAAAACCTAGCCATGAACGTTTCCTCCAGGCCGTCCGTTTCCTTATCTATGGACATTCCAAAACATTTTACATTAAAGAGGGGATGTCACACGCAGGATGTGTGCGAATTGTGGACTTCATGCAGGTGTCTGAACAGGTGAGATGAGGTCTCAGGTGCCTGCCCGGTGGGTCGGCACCTACGTAAGCTTATTCACGGGAGTGTTGCCTTGAGTCTGCCTGTGGCTTTGTCCCTTTCGGTCTGTGGGAGCTAGAGGGTGGCTAAGGTGTGCTCTGTTGGGGGGAGGTCAGATGGGGAGGGAAGGGGCCTCACGTGGGTGCTAGGCCCTGCCCTACAGCTTCCAGTGCTGTCTGCAGGGAACAGGGCAGCTGGGTTCTGAGGCAGGAGTGAGGGGGAAGTGTGGCTGTTAGGGCAAAGGAGGAGCAGAGAGGATGCAGGACTCAGCCATGCTCAATGCCAAACCAAAGCTTAGTGTCATGCCTGGGACCTTGTGTTTCATAGCTGCTGGAAGGAACATGGAGTACTGCATTTTCTATGTGTCATTTCTGGGGGACACCGAAGGAGTGGTCGTTTTTGACCACTGCTTCAGAGTTCAATTTTACTTTTTTTTTTTAATCCATTGATGATTTGTCTGTCATCTAAATAAATGACTTTCAAATCGAACAACTGGGTCACCAGAACCAGCTCAAAGCAGGAGGAAAATCAACCCCAGCCCACCTCTGGAGGGTAAATTTTTGTAGTTCTCTTTTAAGAAGAGCTCAAACGGCAGTATCCCCACATGGGCTTCTCCTTCCGAAACAGACAGATCCCCAGAGGGAGAAGCACATACCAGGGGTCCCTTCCTTGACAGCCTTTTTCTAGACTTTCGCTATCTCAACTTGACCTCGGACAAGTCCTACGAGCCTATACATTGAATCCATGTGGCCAAGTTGGAAACCAGTCTCTGCATGCCGGAAAGAGGAAGAAGAGAAACTGGCATCAAGACCACTAAGGAAATTGCTTTTGGGGAATGCCACCCTCTGCATACTTGGGCAAACAGCTTCATCTCCAAGAGACAGGGCTTTCCAGAGCCCACGTGGAAATTTAGCAAGAAGGAGGTGGGTGGACAAAAGGAAGGCCAAAGAGGAGAGAAGGGACTCGTGTCAGTGCCGCACTAAGATCTTCCTCTGGGGCTGTCACAGCTACTGCTCTTGCAGCCAGTGCTGTAGACGTAGGGGGTAACCTGGACCAGGTCTGGAGAGCAAGGCTCGGCCAACTTTTTCTATGAAAGGCCAAATAGTGATTAGTGAGTTTCCGTTCGGCAAGTCACACAGTTTCTGTTGCCACCAGCCAGCTCTGGCGTGACAGCCCAAAAGCGCCCTCTGCCACACAAATGGAAGGGCTTGGTTGGCTCTGTTCCACTAAGATTTTCTTCCCCAGGCTCACAGACCGTACATTGCATGTTCCCTGTTCTAGGGAGCAGGATGAGAAACATGCATCCTACCCTCTATCTCTCTCTGGAAGGCCCCTAAGGCCAGGAACAGCCACCGTTCTCAGAGCACATCCACAAACTCGGCTGGTGTCTCAATGCGCAGGACCCAGTCTCAATTTCTCATATCGGCTATGCTTGAAAAAAAAATCATTTGGGGAGGGGTGGGTTGGTGACACGCTGGGAATCCCCCAGGAAGATGTGGGGCTGCAGAGCATAGAGGAGCACATGCCTTTAATCCGGTTCTGCCTGCAAGGAAGGAGGCCCAGCATGCCAGACTCTGCCGCGGAAAATGCATGGGGATGGTGGCACTCTGGTGCTATGTGTGCCTGTGTGGTACCTTGACTGTTTTCTGCTTACATCACTCACACCGTCCTTTGTTCCTGGCTTGGCCGCTCCTTTGTCACCAGTGTCTGGACTGAGTTCATCAGTGTCTCGCAGTCACCTACTGATGTTCCATGTGTTTCTGCTGTAAATATTTGTCGTTTGTATTTATTGTCTCAGTGTCTTCCCCCCCCCCAAAGGCATAAACTCGCTTCATTCAAACACACCAACCGATCTCTGTTGTGTATGTCCATGCTTTTGTCGTCCCTTCCCCCTCCAAAAGTTAAAAAAAAAAAAAAGATGTCATTTCATGGTCCCTCATGTGATTAGAAACACGGAATATATTTATCTCTCTAGTCCTTTTGCTCAAAATTGTCCGGATTCTTGTGTGCCTCCTGAAGGCATTCGCACAGTCTAAATGTAAGCGAGGCAGCTGTTGAGAACAGCCCTCCTTAGGCTTCATGCTTTGTACGCATTTACTTGGGAGCCTTCCTGTTCGGAAGGATGTGGGTCTCCAAATAACGTTGCAGTGTTTATTTTGAGCTTCGAATCTTAGCGAGATGATCCGCACACCTCTCCTTTGTATCAATAAATAGCCCTGTTATTCTAAAACAAGAGGGCCAAAGACAGCAGAACGCCAACAACCCAGAATCGAATAAAAAGGAGACACTGGCCCAGGGCTGCAGTCCGTCCTTAGGCATGAGCTCTGAACCTGGCTAATGGCATCTCGGGAACAACATGGAGACGGTGCTCCTGGCATCCGCTTCCTAAGGAAGAATGGCACCACGTGGGCTTACTAAGTCAGCGTCTGCTTCTGTTACAAAGCTAGACAACAGGGCCTGGACACTGTCACCCTGTGTTCTTCTTCAAGCATTAATAAAGGTTTTAGATAAATGACTTGCACTTGAGCAGTGTTATTTCTGGGGCACCTGGATGTGAGGCGTAAAAAGAGATAACTGAGTGGGGGAGCGGGGGTGCTGGCATTGCTTGTGCTTCACACTTGCGGGAGGGGAGCCAGGTGAAGATGCCTCACCCCACCTCTCAGGATGTCCTCATCCCAGGACCTCTGGCCAAGTGCCCACCAGGGCCACCAAGACAAAGAGGAAAAGGAATCCTCTGCCACTGGCCTAGAAATAACCACCCTCATCCCCACTGGCTTCTCAAAGCTCCCTCTGCTGTCGCCTTCCCGTGCAGCCCATTCTTTCAGGCTGGCGCTGCAGCCTCTGCCATCAGCTCCATGCCTTGGCACATGCGAGGTTGCTCTCTGGCTCCTTCACAATGCTTGGCTACCACTGCAAGGCCAGACCAGAGCTCTTCCTCACTACAGCTTGCAGGGCCACAGTGCCCACACTGCATGCCAGGCATCCCGGTGGCCATCGAGCAAGCGTTACCCCACCCCAAGGCCCACCCTATCAATTACTGTTCCTATTTTGCAGACAAAGAAGCCTGAGGAGGCCAGTGAATCATCTCAGCAAGTAAAAAGGCTTTTGCTGTCAAGCCTGATAACTTGAGTTTAATCTCTGGGACCCTCCTGGTGGAAGCAGAGAACCAAGTCCTAAAGATGTCCTCTGATGTCCACATGTGCACTGTGACATAGGGTGGGGGGTGCTTTCCTAAGCACACACACACACAAATATGAATGTTTTTTAAATATTTATTTATTTATTATGTATACAATATTCTGTCTGTGTATGCCTGCAGGCCAGAAGAGGGCACCAGACCTCATTACAGATGGTTGTGAGCCACCATGTGGTTGCTGGGAATTGAACTCAGGACCTTTGGAAGAGCAGCCAGTGCTCTTAACCTCTGAGCCATCTCTCCAGCCCAAATATGAATGTTTTAACTTGAAGAAGAGGAGTCCAGGTACAGATAACTATGTGGTTAGAGAACAGGAGTCTGAACTCAAAACCAGATGGGGCCTCCTATGCCCACTACCTTGCACGAGGCCTGGGAAAAGAATAGACTCACTGGGTGGTGGTGGCGCATGCCTTTAATCCCAGCGCTCAGGAGGAGAGGCAAGTGAATCTCTGTGAGTTCGAGGACAGCCTGGTCTACAGAGCTAGTTCCAGGACAGCTAGAACTGTTATACAGATAAACCCTGTCTCAAGAAGAAGAAGAAGAAGAAGAAGAAGAAGAAGAAGAAGAAGAAGAAGAAGAAGAAGAAGAAGAGGAGGAGGAGGAGGAGGAGGAGGAGGAGGAGGAGGAGGAGGAGGAGGAGGAGGAGGAAGAAAAAGAAGAAGAAGAAGAAGAAGAAGAAGAAGAAGAAGAAGAAGAAGAAGAAGAAGAAGAAGAAGAAGAAGAAGAAGAAGAAGAAGAAGAAGAAGAAGAAGAATAATTATACTCGGCAGAATTTTTCTGCAGAGCAGGGAAAAAAATGGAAGCTCTCACCTTTGCTTCCTGCAGAGACTGAAGGGCTGGCTAACACAGACAGACGTGAGGAGGAGGGTGCAACTGTTTCATGTATCCACATGGGAGTGACTTCGTAAATGCACCTCCCCCCAGACCACTGAGAAAAGCACCTCAGGGGCAGCTGGCTGGTGTGAACACACGATGAGTACTTCCTCCACCCCACTCCACGGCCAGTCCTGTCTGAGGACCCAGGCTCCCTCCACCCGCTCACACCGCTCACCATAGTCATCTTCAGCATGCAGGTGCAAGCCTTGAGGACCAGTTGTGTGCCCTTGCTTCTGCTGGCACTTAGCAGATATCGTTTCCAAACCCCAGTTTGCAGATAAAGAAACTGAGGCTCGATCATATCGTACTAGGTCGCATCTCAGGACAAGGCCACCCAGGTCCTTGGTGACAGGCAGCTGCCCTGGGACTCCATCTGACACGTCTCTCATCCCAGGTATGAGCGCATGGGTTTAGTGCACACAAATGAATTCAGAAAGGCAGCTGCCTCCCTAAACCCTCGTAGTTGGATTATTAGGCTTGAGGAGAAAGAAAGCAGAGAGGCCTCAAGTATGCCTGGGTCTAAACAAAGGTCCCCAAGGGATATAGAGACACACCCCAAAATCTGGAGAGAGAAATCTGAATTTGTGCTCATGTCAACAAAAAAAAGCAAGTCTCCTGCTGAGGAGGGGACAAGCCTTGGCCAGGGAACAATTTTTATGTGAATTATTTTTTTGTGAGCGGAGAAGAGAGAGCAGCGGCTTTGGACTGGAGTCCCATGTCACTGCTTGCATAAGCGGTTTAGTTTTATCACTCCCAAAACATAAAAAAGAAAAAGAAAAAAAACTCACTCCCCAAAGGGAAGAAAAGTCATAGAGCCAACTTGAATTAATGCCTGAAATGGGTGCCAACACCATGTCCCCTGTCACTTGACGGGACCCAGACTCTATGGCTCCTTTGGGTCTGCACCTAGCTCGCTACCACTGAACATCAGATGTGCCTGGGTGAGCTGCAGCTTGGCCTCCCCCCGAGGAACTCTCAGAGATGGCAGCCTCTCAACGGGTGCTAAAAAGAGTCATCAGTGGGCCCTGTTCCCCCAACACACGGGGTCCACTAAGTTTTACGATTCTGAAATTAAGGAAGGGGAAAGGCATGCCAAAAGAAGGGCACTCCTGAAGGGCACAGGGACCACCTGCTTGCCCTCCTGACTAGCAGTGACTGTAGGAAGGGCCAAGGGGCAGACAGAAAGAGAATCCCTAGACTTCTTCCTTTTGCCTCCGGAGGAGATATCAGACGGCTAGGCTAACTGGCTTATCATTCCGTGGGTCAGGAACATGGCAGGAGCTCGTCTGGACGGTTAGACTCGTCCCCTGGCACTGTCTGAGGTAATGAATGACTGGAAGCTCCACTCCCCAAACCCCAGTGTACCCTACAAGATTACACGTCAATGCTTCCATCCGCTCCCTTCCTCTGCACCTCATCCTCCAAGGCCTCTCGGAACATGGCTGCCTCTGGGGGCTTTTCCTCTTCCACAGTAACTGGCTTTTCCCAAGACAGGCTAGTGGATTGCAAGGCCTTTTCTTCCCATTCAAACCATGGTCTGGTTCACCCTCGGTACTGTAAAAACCACAGGACATAAATGCCGTCAAGACAGGATCTATCTCGTTTCACTATTTTTGCAGTGACCTGTACAAGAGTGAGTGGTAGAGTTTTTCCAGAACTCCCAAAATTCCCAGTCAAAAAAAGTCCAGTCCCAACACAATGACACGATGCTTTCTGGTGGTCTGACTTTGCTGGGCTATACTTTTTCAAATGAGGTAGAAGGATGGAGACATGGTTCTGTGGGGAAAGGCACCTACTGCCAACCCAGACAAGCAGAGTTCGAACCCAGGACCCACGTGCTGGAAGGAGAGAGCTAACTCTTAAAAGTTGTCCTTTGACCTCCACACCCGTTCATCTGTGCTCACCCGTGCAAAATATTAAACAAGCATGTAACTAAAAAATTAAATTACTGATAAACTTTGGAACCAGGAGACATGGACAAGGGTACCCATTCAGCCACACACTTGCCCCGCATCTCCTGCATCTGGTAGCCCTCGGAACAAACAGCAGAAAATGAGAGTTGGGACAAAGGCGGACTGACTAGGGGGCTGGCCCTGGTAAATCAGGTGAACTTTCTGGGTCCGTTTCCTCAACTACTCCCATCTCCCGACTTCCCACACAAGGCAACGTGACTTTAAATGACCGCCGCTGTATGAAAAGTCACAGCACACCAGAAATTCTTCAAACACAGTGGAATTCAGCAGAAAGGATACCTCTCACTTCTCTGGGGCCATCTTGGAAGGCTGAGGCCTAAGGCTCAGAACACCCATAGGATGAGCTGGCCCTCCCTTTTATTCTGTCATACTATCTGTTTTCTGTCCTACTGTCCAGTCTCAAAAGTGAGCTACGAAGCTGTGGAGAGAAAGAGGAAAGGGGCAGTGGTTGGCGCACAGTGGGCATTCACTAAAAGTAGGCATGAAGGGTTGAGGACCTACTAAGTGTGGGCTCTGAATGAATTCCAGTCTCTCACTAGGACAGCAAGCAGGCCCAGAGTAGCTTCCACACTGGCATTCACAGGCCACTGAGGAGATTCGTGACATCTTGATAAGGCAGTGTAAGACCTTGCTGGGAGTGAAGCCTTCCCTCCGGGCCCTCCCTTGGCAGCAACCTCAGGGCAGGGTCCTCCGGCTCAGGCAGCTCACAAGCTTTCTCCTTGAGATGGGAAAGCTGAGACCAGCAAAAACTAGAGGAAAGAAATTAGGGTCAGGGCCCGTTCTGCCCTCGGCCAGGGTTCCTAAGAGTTTGACATTTGGAAAAGATCTGGCCTGGAGGAGCCAAGGATTTGGGGCAGGGCTCCTTCCGGCTCCCGGAGTGTCGGGAGGAGGAGGAAGAAGGTGACTCAGCTGAAGAGAAAAGTATTTTTAAAAAGCGAATCGATGAAGGCACAATGGCACAAAATGTAACCCAGGACATGGTCCAAATACTTCCTCGGAGAAAGCAGGCGAATTTCCGAAAAGCCAGAGAACTCACTCAGGTTTCTTAACCAAGAATAACACCAGGAAATGGAGACAGTCTTCTTGGCAGGGCAGGCCCCCAGCCCCCAGAAGCCCCCAGAAGCTCCCCAAAAGCCTGACCACTATATCTTAATATTGCCACTCCAGGGATCAAACCACCTAATTCCTTAGGGGAAAGTCACATATAAAACATAGCAAACCCTAAAGATGGGTCAGCTGGGGCTTGTCAGCTGACTTCCCCCCTCCCAGTGTGAGCGTCCACACACCCAAGGCTCCCTAATAGCCAACACTTGGTCGGTAATAATATTTCAACAGAGCATTGCTCTCAGTCTTTCCTGATTTCCTTTTCATTTTTCAGACAAATTTCCCCGTACATCTCCGTGTCTTGGTTTCCGTTCTGTTACTATGAAGAGACTCCATGACCAAGGCAACTTTTGAAAGAAGGCGTTT